GCGTATAACCTATTTAACGCATATTTAAGCTTGAAGTTTGTATACTTTGAAGCAGCGTTAAAGGATTCTGACTACTGCTAAATGCTGTTTTTATCCTATTGTTACGTGGAATCAAACGTTAAACATCTATGAAGGAATCCATTGAATTCTCCTCGAAAAACTGTCTTGGCACACTATGCCTTCAGTATTTTCTGAAATTTCATGACAAAATTCACTTGCTCTAAGTATCGAATTCTTTGGGGTATGATGACTTTTGAGACCCACTGTACACATGCTGTTCGAACGTGCTGTCAGAATCCTTTACAAATTTCAACATTGAAGCTCCCTACAGTGTATATGCGTGCCCGCCTCATAATACCGGAAAGCGTAAACTGAAATGATATCCAGAATTGTCGAGTTTTAGCCAATCAGAAGGTCAGCTTGGCCAATCACAGTCAGCGACCAAGAAAGAACGGACTAGTAAATCTTCTGCGACAAGGCGACCAAGACATGGAATCTTCCACGCCAGGCTTGGTCGATGTGAACAAAAAATGCATTCTCTTGGTCGCCTTGTCGCAGAAGATTTACTACGTACTACGGTAGTAGTACTGCAGTCCGGTCGTTCATGTCCATGCTTCCTTGGCCAAGCTGACCTTCTGATTGGCTAAAACTCTACAATTCCGGATATCGTTTCAGTTTACGCTTTCCGGTATTATAGGTCATTGTTTGATACTATTTTTTGAAATTCAGAGAGTAATTGTCCGGATACCGTTTACCAAAGCATGCCAGAGCATCCGCCCACAAAATTCCGCGCACCGCAGCGTAATAGTATAATTTGGTGCAGGCGGTGTCTTGGCGAGGAGTGAGCCCTATCGTGCACGTCATGGAGTGTCCTATCGATTCGTCTTGTTGGGAAAAGCGACAGGTAGACCGTAGATGAGGCCTGTTCTACGACGGAGCACTTTTACTTGGTATTTATATTGTTCACCAATTAATGGGTTTGCGCTGGATACTCCATACACTTTCCACAGGGAGGGAAAATAGCTCAGGGGTAGAGCATCGGTTTCTTAACTCAAAGGTCGTGGGATCCATCCCTGGCTTCACCGAAAGGATTTATCCGTCCCTCCTGGGGAATCCGGATATTAAGGGAGACAAGGACCGAACTTCGATCGAAGCACGAGGTATGAAGCGTTGAGGGAAGTATAAACCGAAGATTACACACCGCCTCTAGTCGAGCAGGCGCGTTACAATTGGCGAAGCGGTTCCATAACATGTGGTTCTAGTATCGGCACTTGCAGAGGAATGTCTTAAAAATGATAATCCAAACTCACTGTCAATGAACCATACGGTTTCCACAGTAGCAATACCACACACGCACGTACTAGTATACTCCCAGCATGTGGTTGCGCATCGAATTTTCAGACCAAGCCATTGTTTTTGTACTAAGATGTATTTCGGATTGTTTATTTGAATTATTCTAATTAGGCTGAAATGAATCCTATATAGGGAGCTTCAATGTTGAAATTTGGAAGGGATTCTCACAGGGATGTGACAAATCCTAGTAACATTACCGGTATTCACATTGTCAAGGGGTTCAAACAGCATGTGTATCCATGGTTAATTGAGTTTGGATTATCATTTTTAAGACATTCCTCCGCGAGGGCCGACACTAGAACCACATGTTATGGAACCGCTTCGCG